TAGGGGCCTCCGTACGTTCGGCCTGGCAACTCTGGTTGCTACAGTATTTGTTAAGTCGGTCCTGTGGCCCCTAAAAAAGGAGGCCTTGGCCTCTCTCAAAAGGCGGATGGCCGTTTTTTTATGGAGGGGGGACAGTGATAGCCCTCATGCCATCAGTCGGGTAGCATGGGACTCAGTGATCCAACACAAGGCTAGAGGGGGGTTAGGTAGGTATCATAGACCCCTCCACTCAGGCCCAGGCTCCTAGCCTTCGCTGGCTGCGGCCTCTAATCTTCTCTGACTCCTCCCCGTGGCACACTCTGGCGATGGCGCAAATTGCAGCTTTGGCCCCTGAGGCCCTCCCGCATGTGGACCCTCTCACCTGGTTAGAGGACAGGTATTGGAGACTTTCGAAGAAGGATGCGTATGGCGAGCCTGCCGATGAGCTATGGTTGCGCCTCCTCAAAACCTGGAGGAAGCTCCCGCTCCCGGATAAACCGGTCACCGAACGCTGGGAGGAGGTGGCAAGGAAACCACTTCTTGGAAACAGATTGATCATAGACTCGCAGGGCAGAGTACGCTGCAGTTCAGATGCCCCCCCTGGAGGGGATGGTCTGAAAATGGAGTGCTACGGGTGGGGGATCTATGCATGGGACAGGGAGGAGGAGAGAGGCGTGGAAATCCCCAGAGCAGATGTGTTGCATACTGTAACGGTGCAGACCAGAACAAGAACCTACCTCTCTCACAAAGTACAAGATAGCGTAGCGGAAGACTTAGATACCAATGATCCGAACAATCAATATTGCAATGCAGCCCCGAACATACATCATCATCATCACTCCATGGTGTGAAGGGGTCTGGCGCTCACACAGGAAGAATGCGCCAGCCCCAACCATACACAGACAAAGAAGAGGGGGTTAGACGAAGAAGAGGGGGAAGATGGGAATGTCGTCAACACCAAGTCTTCGGCACAGGCCCAAATAGTCCCTCGTCAAAATGTCTGAATCCCAATGTCGAGTCTGGATCCAATGTCGTCAAGTCTCAAGTCACAACTCTCTCTCTCTCTCTGTCGTAGTCTGCAGATACGGAGAAGTCAGATAGGGAGAGGGTGAAGAAGAGATGGTGGACTTAGAAGAGGAAGAAGAAGAACTCTCTCCCTCTCTCTGTCCGGTACTAACCTGTGAAGCTGGCGCCTTGCTGCAGGTACCTCGAAGATGGAGCTGGAGTCATGGCGCCACAGGTAAGTCTCGCTGGCCTCCGCCGGCCATCTCTCTCCAACACTACTACCACTACCACTACTTAGCGCCCTGCGCTGAAGACTACTCCTGCAGCTACTAGCGCCCAGCGCTGAAGACTACTGCTAGCGCTAAGCTACTCCTGCAGCGCTCCTCCAGAGTGCTGCTGCCGAATCCTGAGGACTGCCTCATGCCTTCTGTCCAACTACCTCCCCGTGAAGTGCATGGGAACTCCCTATGTATTACTCGGCATGCCTCCTGACTGTCGGGCGAGGCAGTCCAGGAGGCTGCTCTTGCCAATGCCAGGGCAAGCCAGGGGCTGGCGCTGCAGCTCCTGCTGAGGCTGGCGTGGGGAACAGGCCAAAAATAGCCTGTTCCCAAAACCCTGGTTTGTTGCCTGAGTTCTAGGGCAGGACGATCTTATGAGGGCCCGAAAGTGGCCCTCCGTTTCAGGCTGAAAAGACTCAGGGCTGAAAAGCCCTGTTTTAGGCTGAAACGACATAGGGCCTGCAGGCCCTCGTTTTCAGTCTTTCAGGCTGAAACGACATGGGGCCTGTAAGCCCTTATTTCTAGGCTTTTAGGCTGAGAATGCGGGACGGGCACTGCAGGCCTGTGTGGCTACGCAGTATGCCACAAGATGCGAATGCGACTGCGGTATTGTCATCATGTAGAGGCGGCGCTGGAGGAGCTGATTGACAGCTTCCCGGGCCGGTATCCGGTACCATGTCTCTACTCGGCCCACCTCAGACATGGAACTACCTGGGACGCTCACTCCCCGACAGTGTGCAGTTTTCTAATCTGACATCCCGCTAGATCGCTTCACCCGGTCGACCCCAGTGCTGAGAGAGGGTGACTGGGTGGGGTGGGGGAAGCTAACTGTCCAGGCCAGATCGGGCTGGTTCATATGGTCCGTCCAACCAATACAGCACTATGCGGTGGGCCGAAACGGGTGTCTAGATGAGAGCAGGCAGCCCTTCTCTTGGGAAGATAAGGAGAATGTGCATCGGGTCAGAGTCTTGGAGGAGAGGGGCGAGAGGAGGGCCTATCTCCCAGACAAGGCGCCAGTGGAGCTGCCGTTAGATCCTGAAGAATGGTGATGGCTTAACGACATGCACAAAGGAAGGCACCAGCAAAAGCCATTGAAGCTCGCCAATTTGAAGGCAAAATCAGCCTACAGGATGCTTAGGATTAAGAGAGTTCTGCGGGATGTAGTGGTTGACAGGTGGCAGCGACATATTAATGTCAACAACCATCTCTTGAAACCTATTCGGTGGTTCGGAGAAGCCAAACTCAAACCTTCCAAAGTCTCTTCCCTCCAGTGGCAGATTGCCCACCGCTGCCTCCCGACTAATGATTGGCTAATTGACCACACATCTCTGGAACAGCAGGGGGGGGACACTGCCTTGGTGTACAAGATGCCAACAGAATTACCCGCCGCGGCTGAGGGAAGAAACCATCGAGCATGTCTTCCTGCAGTGCCCGCTGGCGGTACTAACTTGGCGATGGTGGGACAGAATCTGGCAAAAAGTTGTGCCAGGAACCGTCTGGCCTTGGGAGTGGCGGGCGCTGTTGACAGGGTACTTCCCCGATTTTCAGGACGGATCCTTTAAGGAAAATATGTTCCGGTTGGGCAGGAGGTCGGTCCTCTGGGTGCTGTGGTGGCAGAGATGCATCCTGGCAATCGAGGGGGCAAGGGTGGTGGGTGGGGAGGTAACTGTGCAGATCCGCCAATTAGTACAAACGGAAATCCAGAATCAGTAGCAAGCAACGAAGAGAAGAACGGGTTGTGTGCACTCATCAAGTTATTGCACACTTCTGCAGGGAGTGGCTGGGGGGAGACCGAGGGGGTTGGATGGCGGTAGTAACATGGTCAGGAGACACCCCGGTACGAGGGGAACGACCTCAGGAACGACATCAAGATGCAGGGGACAGGCCAGGGAGAAACGTGATCAGAAACTACCAGCTCCGGTTTAACAACTGGATTAACATTGACCCTGCTATACCGCTGAGGACAGCCTCGGACTTCCCGGACTTATTCCCTCCTCATCCGTTTTCAATGGTCCGGATACTCCAAGAGGAAGATTGAAGGGGGGGGAAGGGGGGGGAAGGGGGGTGAAGCCTCCAGAGCCCCCCAGGGGTATCACTGCCCTTGCAGGCTTCAACTTAAGAACGTCAGGATTTCCCCGCACAGTCAATCCCCAGTAGCCCCTGGGCAATCAATGCTGGCACCGTGTAAAACGGTGTGGAGGTGGGAAAAAAAAAGAAAAAGAAAAAGAAAAAGAAAAAACGTTTTTTCGCCAAGTGTCGGACTGTGAAGTCGCTGTTACCTCTTACAGGTCGAACACTATCTGAGAGTGTTATCCTTCTGTAATGCTAACACAAGCAGACGTGGGAGTGGGTGACTGGCAGCAGGACTGTGAAGTTTTGGTGGAA